GTAATGTAAATAAAACACAGTACTTTTAAGCAAGGAATGAAACCGATTCAAAATAACGTTCCGGTTTGGGTTTCGGTTTTGCCAAGTGTTTTGGTTTCGGTTTTGGTTACGTTCTTCAAAATTTATTTCGGTTTTGGTTTCGGTTTCGGTTTCGTTCCGGTTTCGGTTTTTCACAGAAATTTTGTTGATATTATTTAAATCACAATGTCTTAAAGGAAAGAAAATTGAAAATTACAGTTCACTGATAATATCAACACTAGGTTCTTTCCCTAACAATCCGGACCGGATTTGGTAATTAGAGAATAAGAGAAACATTTTTTTTTTTAAAAATGGAACAAAGTCCAGAAGTACGGGAACGCAAAAACCACATTTCGTGCCCACAAGTCGAGAAACAGCTGATTCACGTTGTTCTTGTTTTTTTCACTTATACCATGTTCTGACCGACATCGGAAACATGTTTTCGTTGCTAAAACTGGTTTTCGACCTAAAACTTGTGTTTTCGTCCATGTAAAATCTGTCAAACGAAAACCAGTTTTCGCTGAAAACTACACAGATACACAGCAACAACGTCATCACCAGATTCACTTAAATGTTTCCTTTTTGCTGTAAAACTAAAGGTGTATGAAAACTAAAATATAATTGTTATTTTCGTCATATATTTACTACATAATAATGAAACCCCTTCATTTCTGTGTTCTTTACAACTATACACGTGAAAATGAAAATCAAAATAACTTCTTCCAAATAACCGATGCCAGATCGGAGATTTAATTTATTAGGCACCATTTTAGTAGCTTTTTGCGAAAAATTACCTTGACATACTTATTTACTACTTAACAAGAATTTTAGCAAAATATTGCTGATTTTGGTTAAATGAATCATTTATTTCAAAGAAATTTTGATTTATTATTTTTGTAAATTTCTGGAAACCGATTGAAACCTGTGATTGAAATGGTTTCGGTATCGTTCCTTTTCAGGTTAAGATAACGGTTACGGTTTCGGTTTCGGTTTTGAAAAACGAAACGGTTTTAAACGGTTACGGTTTCGGTTTGGGTTTCGGTTTCATTCCTTGCTTTTAAGTACCTATTCGACACTTAATCCTGAGTACATTGAATCGATCCTGAGATCTTTCTACTTTCGAGTTCTTTTGTGAGCACTGAGTACTTTCGAGTTCTTTCTTGAGTACTGAGTTCTTTGGAGTACTCAGTATCGATACTTTTAAAAATCGAGCGCGGTCGATCCTTTTGAGAATCGTGTTCTGAGTACTTTTGGTATCGATACTGCCCAACACTAGTAAAATGTATATTACAATTTTAGTATTTCAATGATATGTTTGATAAAATATGGATATCGAATTAAAGATAGTAACTGATACTTCTAAATAGAATAAATTTCTTTGCAATAATTATGCAGGTTATTTCATGAAAAAATAATATTTGTTCGTTTTTTAGTGGTTTTGGTTTAAATATATAAAAAACAATTTCAATTATGTATATCAGCGGAAAGTTAAATTGATTATCGGTTATGTGGTTCATAAGATATTAATATTAAAAAAAATCAAAGAATTCAATTGTAACCTTCTAAAACGTCTTTATATTTTACTCGCACTAAGTAATTTTGGCATGGTTGAAATGAGCGTAAAAAGTTCTATTGATCTGTATTTTTTGTTTTTGCATAGCTGAACGGTCGATATTTTAGATTTGTTCCAGGAAATGACGAATAACTTAGATTAAAAATCTACATTTTTACGTATTGCTTAGTATTTCCATTAAAACACCAAATGTATTGCAAATTCACATATAATTAATACTACACGTTTTATTTCGAATGGTATTCTTTGCGCACTTTCTTAGTACCTTTCTACTACCGTTTTCGCAAAAGGCGATCACATTCTTCCCCATTCTCCTACTTCCTAACTACAAATCTAGATAAAGGAGTGTCAAATTTTAGATGTCACAAATTACATAACCTTGTGTTATTGAATCATGGCACGGTGCAGCGAAACAAAGGTGGCGCCGTCAGAGGTACCGCTACTTTGGTTTTGCCGATTTTGACAGTTGTGGTAACTCGTAAATAAACTTTTGTTTACAAATAAGTTGCATAGAGAAATTTGAATTATTAGTGAAAAATCGGTTAAAATCGTGTTAATTTGCAATTTTTTAGTGATTTTTCAGGTGAGTAGTGTGTAAAAACTGATAAAATGAAGTGCCGTGTATTAAATTGCGACAGCCGTCAAGGTAGTGCCTCTAAATGCAGCTTTTTTTCCTTTCCTCGCAACGATGCCGTGGCGAGAAAGTGGGTGGAATTCTGCGGGCAAGTAAAGCCATTCAATTTGGATACCAGCTTCATATGCATGAAGCACTTTACCGACGATGATTATCACAATGTTATGCAGTACAAAGCGGGTAAGTATCATTTACTTTGAATTACGTAGATATCTAATAAAAGGATTAGGATTGGCTAAACGCCCGTTACTCAGGCGCGATGCGGTGCCATCCATTTCTGTGTGTGCTATACCTGTAGCAGAGTCTCAACCGCATGATGACCACAATATGGAGGTGCTTGAGCTAGGTAGTTGCGAAGGTAGTAAAAATAGTACGCCCTTAAAATTATATTATTAATCTAAGGGGTTTGTTACAGTGGTTGTAAGTGAAAGCAATACAGAATATCGACCCAAGGACGGTACTCTTGATGCTTCGACATCACCAATTCGTAACTGGGCTTACTATGACGGCGATCTTCAAGAAGTGGAAATGTTAAAAGCGGAAGTGTACGTTAATAATTTCAAGATCATAATGTGCAAATCAAATCATAACTTATATTTTCTACTTCTTGCAGAGCGACATTGAAGCGCGAAAATGCAATCCTCAAAAAGCAAACCGCTAAGCAGAGTACCGAGATCGCTACATTAAAGCGGGAGTCTGACCTTCAGCTGAAGAAGCACGCGTGGGCAGTAGAGTTGTTGAAAAAGAGTTTGGATGCAATGGCTGCCGAAATGGGAAATATAGAAGATAAACTGGCTTCTATATTCACCAAAGGTCAGATAGACAAACTGAAGACTGGGTCGAAGCGACGAAATTGGGCGGAGGAGGATATTGCACAGTCAATTACATTGTATGCTGCCAGTCCAAATGCATACAGGCTGCTGTATAAGCAATGTTTTCCACTACCTGGAGTTCGCACACTGCAGACTTGGGCACAAAAAGTGGAGATTTCGCGCGGACTTATAAACCCAGTCTTCCGCTTGTTGGCAGCCGCTACCCATATGGACGAGGCACAGAAACTATGCGTGTTGAGTTTCGACGAAATGAAAGTAAGACAATCTTACTGTTATGATGTTTCGTCGGACTCAACATTAGCACCCGTCAACTATGTGCAGGTAGCGATGTTAAGAGGTAAATATTACAGAAAAGATTTTTTAAATAATATAAAATATTTGTAAAGCCCTTATATATTTCAGGTCTCATGGCAAAGTGGAAACAGCCAGTCTTTTATGACTTTGACTGCAAAATGACTTCCGTTTTGCTGCAAAGCATATTGCAGAAGTCGCAAGATTGTGGCTACAATGCAGTGGCTGTCGTATGTGATTTAGGAGGTACCAATAGGTCGCTTTTCAATGATCTCGGCGTAAACGAAGACCAGCCGTGGTAAATAATGATAATTAGATGTATATTCATATTTCAGTCCCTATTAATACTTCTCATTTCCATAGGTTTATTTTCAATGACCAAAAGGTTTACGTTTTCGCTGACGTGCCGCACTTGCTAAAACTTTTGCGAAATCATTTCCTTGATCAAGGTTTCCTAATTAATGAGAAACCTGTGAAAAAGGAAATAATTTTGGAGTTATTGTCAATTACAAGCACGGACTTGACAATAACTCACAAGATTTCAGCAAGTAACTTGACCGTGGCTGGAGCTCACCGCCAAAAGGTCAAGACGGCTGAAAAATTATTTTCGCACACTGTAGCGCAGGCCATCACAAGGGCAGCAAGTGTGGGTCACCTGCAGAAGCAAAACTGGGCCGAATGCTTCCAACTGTTTAAAACAGTATGTATAATTGATATTCCTATATACATATATATATGTGAATTATATGTGAATATATGCACATACATATATGCATATACATATGCACATACATATTTAAACCCTAATATTAAAACGTATGTTAAAATTATACACCATAGACGAATGATTGGTTTGATGTTTTAAACGTCAGGGTTCCCCACGCCGACTCCAGGAAGCGGCGTCTTGCATATGGTCTAGCGCTCGAGGAGCAAGACAAGATCCTTGACGAAATGACCAACCTAATAAAAAGTATGAGGGTGATTGGCAAATTCAGTCTGCTGCCATTCCAAAAAGGTAAACTAATATGTGTTTCTCAAGATAAATATAAATTTTTTTCATTTTGCCTAAAGGAATCATACAAACGAATTTAGCGTTAAAGTTGATGTTCGAGGATATTAAAGCTCGATTTAACATCAAGTATGTGTTAACGTATCGCCTCAACCAGGACGTTCTGGAAAACTTCTTCGGAATTATTCGTTCGAAAGGCGGGTTGCATGATCACCCTGACCAGCAGGAATTTAAATACCGTTTGAGGCTCTACTTGCTGGGACATAACAAGGGCGTCTTATCCGACTCTGCTAACGTAGAAGAGGATGATACGCCAGATTTAGAAGTCACCCAGCCGCCTCTTACAAGTACTTTAACATAATTTTTTAACTATTAATTATTATTACTATTAATTATTATTACTATTTATTATATAAATATATTGTAGTATTAATGATTACATCCCTAATGTATCGCCATATTTACAGGTATTTTGCTAAAAAACCTGAGTTCTAATAAAGAACTGTGGCCGGTGGAAGCGGCGGAATTCGACGAATTGGAATTTGACGGACTGGAGCATTTAGCCGGGTATATTTGCCACAGGTTAAAGGATGATATTCCAAGCACGTCGTTTGGTAGCAATGACAACTCATGTTCCTGGGCGAGTCACCTAAGCGAGGGTGGGTTGTCAATACCAAGTTCATCTATGATGGACCATATGAGAAATCTAGAGTCAGTGTTTAAAGCAATGAACGAAGATGGCTTGCTCATTACAAATGATTTTGTAAAAACTCACATTGAGCATGCTTCGAAAATTCATTGCGACATTAAAGTGAAAAAATTATTTTTCAGGGCAAGAATGTTCTTTAAAATAAGAAAATTAAATAAAGAACTCATTGAAAATGCCCACAAGAAAAGAAGAAAAATTAAAAAAACTCTGGCTTAGATTCATATGGTACCATTATAAATTGTAAGTACGTACTAAAAACATACGGTAAGTTGTCAACTGAAATGTTGTATAAATCCGTAGAAATTAAAAGTTCTTTGATTGTAGCATGCAGCAACGTCCGCAGTTCCCGCAAAGTAAGCTCAATGTTTAAGCCGCCTAAAATTATAAGGCATGGATGCAACGTAAGCCTATGAGTTTAACAAATAATCTGGCATCTTGTATAAAAAAATATCCATATTTATTTATTTGCAGGAGAATAACATGAATGAATCAAAGGCCCTTTTCAGGGCCGCCAATTAATTTACAAAGAGACAATTATTTATGCTTTCAAAAGTACAAATTCAATTAGGCCATCATTTTTGTGTTTACATGCATATGTATATGGAAATGTGCAAAAGGCCCTTTTCAGGGCCGCAAATTAAATTAACAAAAAGACAAACAAATTTGTGTTTACATATTGCTCATTTACTTCAATAGTGTCATAATCTCAATGTCCAACATAATACAAAATCGAGTTAAGTATAGAGAAATGGATGCTAACTGCTCTTCTATGTTGTGTACTTTCATATCTGGTGGGAGATCTTATAACCAGTTAGCGATTCGCAAATTGTCGCTAACTGGTTACGGAATCTCCCCCCTGCACTGATTACCACTAGCTCAGTAGAGCAAAATAAGTATTCATTTTTGATATGGGAGTATATCGTTACCTTAACATAGAAGGGCCATATCTCACATCGTCGTTAAAATACAAAATGCCGTAACTAACTCAATATGCAAAACTCGCTTTTCGATTGATTATGATGCGTTTCATCGTTTATGCAATATAAATTATAGTTAGTTATGGCTTTTTTATATTTCAGCGACGATAGGGGCCTTTCTAAATTAAGGTAAAATTTAAAACTTGAAAACAGTTTTTTCGAGCGTTTGGTTTTGGAGTTATGTCAATATTGAAGTAGAAAACTACAAAAGGATCTTGCCATAGTCTACGAATATATGGAGCCCACTGTATGAAATTGTCGATTTCCACTTTACTACATTCAATTAATTTCGCCTATTTCGCATTGTTTCTTGTTCGGTGTTTCCCTATGGGATTCCCAGTATTTGACGAGCATCAATCAATACGTGCTTTCCTTCAAACAAAGATTCCTGATTAGTTCTTTTACAGATCTTATTGGAAAAAACGATTTAAAGCTTACCTCGTAATACATTTTAATATATCACTTCTCACTGTATTCTGGAATAAGTTCGAGTTCATAAATAATGCCGCGTATTATACGCATCTCTTTGAGGAAAGTAGATTTTCTCGATTCGCCTGCGACAAAAAGCAAAAGTTTTCCCTATATTTACAAATGTGTATAACATAAATACATAATTATAGAAATTGCGTTTTCAATTATCACCAATTAACCTGCATATTTATTGGGCCGGATCAATCCCTGTGATTTATGTCTTTGTTCCAGCTCTTCAGGTATGTTGCGTAAACGACAAAGGTACGAAATAATAGTTGCGTTCCAGATGCTTCACGATATTCACGATTTGCAGGAACAGCTGTTGGTAGTACTGCACTCATGCACACTGCATGGCTCCGATTCGCGCTGTTGTCCTTCCATGAAGTGTGCCATGGTGCCCCATCTCATTATGCGTAGATGCAAATGTAACGCTGCGACGAATCGCTGCATTTTGTGTATACAGGGCGTGCCAAAGCCGAAATGTTTTTTTATTATTATATTTACAGCATTTTATCACAATCATATCGGTTCTGCTCCAAGCAGCCTCCTTTAGCAAGTTAACTAATCAATCCCACTCAGATGCTGGCGCAGTTTGCTGCACCAGCCTTAATTGCAAAGCAATGGAGTACACTAAAACGTTTGCTGCAGCAGCCTTAATTGCAAAGCATGGAGTGCACTAAAACGTTCACTATTCTCCAATAGATTAGATGAAAAATGCAATATTTTCGCATTGATCAAAATTAAAACACCACTTTCGCTGTAAAGTGAACTGTTTTGACAGTTTGAACTCGTTCTACTTTTGTCTCTATTCTTTGTTTACTTGTGGTACACAAATGTCAACGGCCAGGACGGCGCAATCTTGTATTCTATCATTCTTGGAATCATGGGCGCAATCTATCATTCTTGCCACAGAACCACATATACATACATATCGCTCATTTACTTCAATAGTGTCATATCAAGAATGATAGAATACAAGATTGCGCCGATGATAGAGGATAATTTAAGCGTGACGTCATTTTGGTGCAATTGCGAGAAAGAAATGCCAAAACGCATAAAAAAATATGTAAACAATGCAGAAAAATTTGTTAATTTTAATATTACATGGCCGAATTTTGCAGGAATCAATAAATATATAAAGATTGATTAATTAGGAACACGTAGCAATAATTTTGGACATGTAGCCCTTTGGGTAAGTACGATTTTTAGCACATGAAAAAATGTATATATTAACAATGTTCAGCGTTGCCATTTTAGCCGTTTTCCGGCTAGATTTAGCCGGTTTTGATAGCAACTAGCCGGAGAAAATTCGATCTAGCCGGCAGCCGATTTGTTAGCCGGTTTGTAAAAAAAAGTTAGCCGTTTTTAGCCGATTTTACTATTTGCCTAATTTTCAGGTGCAAAAAGTAAACAAGTTGTTCGAAAGCAATAATGCAGACCCAATGAAGATTTTTAACGAACTCAATGTTTTACTTTCGCATCATGCTCCCTAGTGGTTATTAGCGCGGACACATTTGATCCTATATGCTCCCCGTTGGAACCATACCTTGCTCCATTTCCTCAGTTTTATCACAGTTTTGAAGAGTATTTAAAAACCAAAGTAAGCACAAACGCTTTTGACCACGAAGCCGAGAAAATAATTCGAGAAAATGGTCGCTATTTTATTATCACTTTAATAAAGGAATTACGCCAACGCCTCCCTACAAATATTGCCACACTAAAAAAATTGACTTTTTTCAGTTGGAAATGCATAAAGAGTAATTAAACCAAAAGTATTTGTTCAACTACAGCAACAAAAGCACTAATATAATGCCGACGAAATAACATCCATAGAGATGCAATGGCAACGGTTAACGTTACATACCTGGAGTAATTTAGACTCAACTGTAAAATTTTGGGCCGAAGTTTATCAATTTCGAAATGCCCTAGGAGAAAACCCTTTTGCTGACCTTTGCAACCTAGTTTTTAGTTTTCTTGTTTTGCCTATAAGTAATGCAGAAGTAGAGCGAATATTTAGTTCAATGAATATAATAAAAACTAAGCAAAGAAATCCAATGTGCGTTAAAACGTTAAACGCTATTTTATATATAAGATACGGTTTAAAACGTGAAGAAAAATGCTGCCATAATTTTACTGTAGATGACGATCTCTTAAAATTAATGAATTCAGGTGATATATACAATAGTGATTCATTTGATGATGAGGAATATACACTCGATATAAATTAATGGTGTTAACTAGTCTTTCGTTTCTTGCGATTTATTTAAATAAAGCATGTGGATTTTCACTAAAACATTTTAGCCATTTTTTGCCAGAGTCTATGTGAAATTTCACTAAAACATTTTAGCCGTTTTTAGCCGCTTTTTTTTGCAAATCTAGCCGGTCGGCCCAAAAAGTTCTGGCAACACTGACAATGTTTGCAATTTCATGTAGACCAAAAGGAAGGTGTGCAGCAAAGTGAATTTTTGGACTAGCCATTGTAAAAAGCCATGCAGAGTGCATATTTATATTTATGGACGGTAACTCCACGGCTGTTGACTCCACAGCTTTATATAACTTTATATAAATGCAAATTGTTACCTACAGTGGCAACGGCAGTCTCACTCTGCTCAAGTAACTTGCTGACAATTCTTTTGTTTTATACTGTGGTGAGCTCTTTCCTCGCGCTGGGAGTCCCCCAGATTTTCTTCGTAAATGGTAGGCACCGCACCAGGTTTTGCAAAACCTAAGGCGTTTACAAAAACAATATTAAATGCAATTAATATGAAAATACACAATATGTTACCCATTTCGAACTGTGTATTATTTTCAATATCTTCACTAGTAAAGTGCTTCATGCACACATAGCTTGATTTGGTGTTTAATGCACATCCTCGCCGACAGAACTTCTTCCACTTTTTCGACAGGTTTGCGTCCGTAGGAAACGAAAAGAAACTTATATCGCACGCTTTCCTTTTGTTTTCACTATTACACTTTGCCACTGCATACTTCGTTTTGCTTTGTAATGTCTCAATAATTGTTTAAAACCACGCATAAATATTAACGCACAAATATTAAAATTGTTATTTGGTTTTTTTCGTATGCTCACAATCAACAATTGCACCAAGATGACGTCACGCACACAGCTAATTATGTCAAAATCACAAAGAGCGGATTAGCGGTACCGCGATTGGCGTAATCTCTATTTCTCTCAATCGTGGTGTAATATACCTAGTTTAAGCTTGAAACACATTGGAAACGACGGGCTACGGACCACAGCTGCCAAATTATTTTAACACGTACTCTTATGTAGATAATTATTTTGGCGACGACACGGCAACACTGCGACTAGCCAAAAATGTAGCTGTGGCCAAATTGGATCTATTACTATTTTTCTAGCGGCAGATAAGATTCTTCCTCTTCTTTTATGTCAAACTCAAACAAATTCATGTATCGCTACCGCGTCGCTGTCGACAAGGCTTTTAGGTTATGTAGATAAAACCTTAATATCGTGTCGTGTGGTGATGTCGATTTCGATGTGTTCAGAGCCTTATACCTACGTAAAAACCTCATTAACAAAAAGCTGATTTGACTAGTAAACAAAATTTGTTATTTTTATTCGATATTTCTTAAATATTTAATTTGCGCGGTGGACCGAAATGGAAGCGAACAAGAATTTAAATATGTTATAATAATAATTCAAATTTAAAACGGGCTGTATGAAGAAAACCGTTTTTCACTTCGCGTCAAATGACCGATGTGAAAAAATAAAAAGCGATTTAAAAACAAATTCGAATCAATACACTTTTTAATTTCTTAGCGTATTGAATGCTGGTTTATGCTTCCGTTTTGAATCACATCGCACTGGGTCAAAGCGCTTCAAGTGTTGGTATAAACAAGGTAATAATCTAACAAGTAAGAAAGTCTAAGTTCGGCGGAGCCGAACATTAAATACCCGGCGCAAGTATTAAATACATGTCTTTTCACCTTTCCGAAAGCTACCGCTAGATCGCTAGATGGTAAGCCGGGGTGTATCAATTTTGAGTAAATTAGCGTCCTTAAATTTCGAAATATTGCAGATTCAAGCATTTATGAAATTTACCGTTATATGAAAAGCGGCCGTAATTTTAGTCCGATTTCAATAATCTTTAACGTTTTGCTTTTATGTGGCAAGTACAATAAAAATACCGAGTTGGGCACAAATTGGTATAACGGTTACCGATATACATATATGTGATCATAAGTGGGCGGTGCCACGCCCATTTTCCAAAGTTTTATCACAAACGTATTTCTTGGTAAAAAATTGTTGCAAGCACCAATTTTAAATAAATTAGCTTCAATATTTACTGATTTATCGAAGATTTCGTATTTCTCTAAATTACCTTTATATGGGATGTGGGCGTGGTTATTGTCCGATTTAAAAAATTTTCAGCCATTTCGTATGCTATACCAAGGCCAACACTTGTGCCAAGTTTGGAAGAAATTGGTGCAGCGGTTACCAAAATACACATGTAACCATAAGTAGGCGCGGCTACGACCATTTTCCAAAAATTTATAATATTCTTATTTTTCGTCAGAAAATTATTGTTAATATCAATTTTGAGTGAATTATCTTCAGTAGTTCTTAAAATATCGCAGTTTTCGTATTTCTGGATATTACCGTTATATGGGAAGTGGGCGTGGTTACTGTCCGATTTCGCCCATTTTCAATACCAACCTTCCTTGGATTAATGGAAACCCACATTCCAAATTTCGTTGAGATATTTAAATTTTTGCTCGAGTTATCGTGTACACGGGCGTACGGACAGACGGACAGACGGACAGACGGGCGGACAGACAGACATGGCTTAATCGACTACTCTATTCATTCTGAGCATTTATGTATATATTTATTTTTATATATATATCTATCTCGACTCGTTTTGGCTGTTACAAACAACCGTTATGTGAACAAAATTAATATACCCTTGTGCACAAGTGCGCTCGGGTATAAAAAATACATACGGTCGCTCCACTATATCTGCGTTCACCCTTGTTTTTTTTTTGAATATTCACAATGTTTGCAAGCTATAATTTGTTTGTTATTTCTGTACCAAAATATGATTTATGCTATAACCAAAACCATATAAATCAAGGGTTCAAACTGTATACAATATTAAGGAAAATTTAATGACTTTTCATCAAAATTTT